GAGGAAAGAGAAAGAGAGGAAAGAGAAAGAGAGGAAAGAGAAAGAGAGGAAGAGAGGCCAGCAGGACGAAAGCGCACCGTCATCGGTAGACGAGGGGCCGCGCTTGTCAGCCACAATCGACAAGGACAGCCCGAGCGGCGCGCGAAGCTGGAGCTCCAGCTTGGTTGGCTGGGCACCGCCCGCCATGGCCGAGTCCTCCAGGTCCTCGGAGCCGGCTGAGCGGATGCTGGCCTGGTCGTCCTCCGACAGCGGGGCCTCGCTGTCCGAGTCGGTGGCAGCCCCTTCGGCCGGGGGGGCATCCGGGCCGGCCGCGGCCGGTCCCTGCAGAGCCGACAGCTTCTGCACCGCGAAGAGGAACCGGTCGACCATGGCCAGAAGCATGCCCACCTGGGCATCGGACACGGACAGGGCCACATGCTTGGCCAGGTCCGCGGTGATGAGCAGCCCCGGCGGGGTGGTGGCCGTCGTGGCCGCCCGGCCAGCGGCCGACACCTCGCCCGCGGCCGGGGCCGCCTGCAGCACCTGCAGCTGGCGCGAAATGCTTGTGTCGATGTCAAAGCCAGTCAACATGCTGGACGGCATGGCCGGCACAGGGGCCTCGCCGTCGGCGGTGGCGCGGACCACGGCCGCCAGCTCGCGCCGCCGGCAGTGCGTCTCAATGCCGACGCCAGTCAACGAGGCACGAATGACCTCCGTGGCCGCCGGGGTGGCAGACCCAGGGGCAATCTCCCGGCTCGAGGCCAGGGCCTTGTTCACCTGGTTGCTGGCGCGGATTTCCCCGAGGCTGATGCACACCGACTCGTCGGTCAGATCGCGCGCCACCTGGCTCGAGTCCCCGAGGATGCCGCCGACCGAAGACAGGAGGTTGATGCGCGGCGCGATCAGCCGCACATCGAAGAGGAAGGGCGTGGCCAGGAAGTCATTGGCCGCGGCATTGGCCGCCGACAAGGGGGTACCCTCGTCCTTCGGGGCCGCGGCCCCGGACGACGCGGACACGCCATCCCCCTGGTCGCCGCCCGGCAGGGCCGCCTGCAATTGGGCCACCAGGCCCTCCACACGCGGCAGCAACACCACCAGGAAGGACACCGCCCGGTGGGCAAACTCCGGGAAGAGGGTCACATGCAGGGCATTGAGCCGCAGCAGGACCTGACGCTGGAGGTCCTCCGGGTTGATGGGGTTCGGGGTCTGATCGAAGGACAGCTCCAGCGAATAGAGCGCCGAGGTGGCCAGGAGCTCGCGCTCCGCCTCGCGCGCGCTCAGACCACCTGCTCATGTGCAAAGGGCGGCGGAGCAGCCCCAGGGGCCGGGCGAGAGACCGGCGTCAAGAAGGGGAAAAGGAAACCGAGAAGAGGTGAGAAGAGGACAAAGGCAGAGCACAAGCATGAACACGACGAATGCACGGGCAAGGAACAGAAACAGGGCCGATCGGCGGCCGGCAGCCCGACAAGCGCCAAGACCCCACACAGATGAGCCCACCGAAACGCACCCAGGGACAGGGTCAGGTGCATGGAGTTGTCCGGCTCCATGGCCAGGCTGGCCACCGTGCGGGTAAGCCCACACTCCAGCAGGGTTTGGCCCTGGTGCCCGGCAACATTGATGAAGATCCCATCAAACTGGGCGCCCAGGCGGAAGGTGGGGGCGCCGCCGGCCGCAGCCGCAGCCGGAGCCGCAGCCGGAGCCGGAGCCAGGGTCGCGGCCTGGCCTGGCGCAGGGGCCCCCTTGGCGGTGGTCGGGGCTGCCGCGCTGACCGGTGGCGAGCCCGCGGGCAGGGCGGCACCCTCATCAGACGCCGGCCCCGGGACCGGGGCCTCCGGGAGCAGCTTCAGCAGCGACAGGAACCCGAGACAGCGGTCAGCCAGCACCAGCAGATCCAGCGGGTCGATCTTGATGAAGAGCGACCCGAGCAGGATGTGCAGGCGCGAGTCGAAGGACTCCGGCCCGGCACCGCTGTCGGCATCCAGCGACATCGGCGTCTCCCCCTGGGGGATGATCACCGATGCCAAGACCGACTCGCGGATGAAGATCGCCGAGAAGATGGCATTCTCCTCGGCGGCCGTGGTGAAGAAGATGATCGGCTGCCCAAGACGCACATGTCCCGGGGCAGGGGCCGCCGCATCGACGCCAGTCCCGCCGGCCACAAAGTGGAAGCAGGCCAGGCTGCGCATCTTCGCATGAACGGCCATGCTGTCGAAGCCCATCTTCAGGCCGACATCCACCTCTGACAGGGAGGCGGCCAGGAGCGGGAGCACCGGCTCGCCCAGGGCACTGTGCATCAGCAGCGGAGGGAGGAGGGAGAGGGAGAGGGAGAGGGAGGGAGAGAGGGAGGGAGAGAGAGG